ATTTTATGAATACGGTTACGTGAACTAATGTGAAATATTTATTCTGGATACAAAACGATTATCGTGTGATCTGAACACATTGTTAATATTTTCATTCTATCTGCAGCACAACTGATCTTAACTACAACAGTTAGACTTATTTTATGAATACGGTTACGTGAACTAATGTGAAATATTTATTCTGGATACAAAACGATTATCGTGTGATCTGAACACATTGTTAATATTTTCATTCTTTCTGCAGCACAACTGATCTTAACTACAACAGTTAGACTTATTCAGTCTCTGTAAGGTTATGCTTTAATTCTATTTACCAATAATGTTAAGTACTGGTTGTCGAAGCTTGACCAAATATTATACAACGTGTATTGTTAAGCATTGTTATACATTACTAATTGTTAAGTATTGCTTGTTGAAGTTTGACTATAACACTTATACAATGTAATTAATTGTAAGTAATTAATTTAATGATCTATGTCCATTTTCAAGGCTGCTGTGTCATTTTTGAAATTGAACAATACTAATAAAGTTATTAGATTCATAGCGTGAATTTCTTTGCTGTTCATCTATGTACTAATAAAACACTGTTTTACAGGGGCTCCACTACTAAATTATATAGGGCCGAAAATCATCTGCGACATATGAAAAACATTGATTAACTTGATGTGTTGGTCTGGCTATTAAGTTGTTCTGGGTTGATTTTATAAACTAGTATTAACAACAGCACGCCTATACTTATGGCCATATTATCGAGGTTTAACTATGGTGCATTGTGATTTACAGGACTGGCTATCAACTGTTATACGTGCAGTTCCCGCAATGGGACTGACCCCGACTGTCACGACCCTTTCAACCCTGCTAACAGTACCTATACTGAAAATTGTATGGTACCAAAAGAAGGTCACGTTGGGTGGTTTCCTGCAAACTTCTGTCTTAAAGTGATTGGCATGACAGGTAGGTTATAATAATAATAGCACGTTTCACGTAAGAAATCCATGAACCATTTTGTCTGTGAAATATTTATAATTAAAGTCGGATTACCTTTAGTACCTAAAATATGTCTCCTTTTAGGTCACATATCACGACAGCAGAAGCTTAAATAACATATAACATTCAAGATAGGTATAATTTACATTTTGCGTGATTTGCCTAGAAGATAGACATCAACAAATGATACTTCTTATCTTGGAGAGGCACGTTTTCTGGAAGTAGCAACAAGATAGTTTTCCACGTTACACATCCGAAATTCATGTGAAAAACAACAAATCCTCAATTACGAAACGCTCACAAACTGGCGGATGGAATGACATTTTAAAGAAAAACAAAACCTTAAGCGACATTTTTTATGATCCACTTTTTTTATTTATTTGATATTCCTGTTTTAAAATCTTCGGTATTTTTAATCATTTCTTCTTTCTTTTCAAGGTATTAGTAACGTGGAGTTAGTGATCCGTGCGTGTGTCTTGGAGACCATGCATAACCAATGTGGACAGTTCAAGTACGAAGATGACACTTTACACGGATGTGTCCTCACCTGCGATTACGATGCCTGCAATGGAAAGCCATACCTGTCTCCTGGTGGTGATTTTCTTCAACTCCACTTAGTGGCGCTTGTAATAATAGGTTGGAACTGGAAAAGCTAAAATGGTTTTTCTGTGGCTGTGAATATTTGTTGATTAGTTTACACAATGCCAAAGGAAAAGTAAAGTTATTGAAGGCAAGTTTTGTGGAAAAATTGGTCCATTCATTGTTCACAAGACTGCAGGAAAGGAAAGTGTTACAATGGACCCACATGTAGAGCATGGCTTTGTAATAGAGATCTATGTTGTACAACTGACGAAACTTCTAATCACATTTCAAACGTTTTAGATGTTAAAGTCTATAAAAAATTTGTTTCAGAATAAATAAGACCGAATAATAATGTATTCGTCGGGTCCAAAAACTGGTGTATGAATTTTGCCGTTTTCAGGGAAGATGTAAAAAGTTCCATGTTAGTTTAAAGAAGTAAATAAATCAAGTCATAAAATAACTTGAAGTGTGAAGTAAACTATAAAAAAGATGAAACTATAATAATCAAACTACGTTTTAGAACTATATTTTTGCGTCAAACCATGAGTGTTACATCAGTGTAATTTACATTTTAATTTTTCAAATCTGTGTTATATGTGGGTCAACATTTACAGTGAATACGTGACTCTCCGTGTAAATTCGATCGTTTAAAGTTGGTTAGCTTTTTTTTTGTATTGATTAAATCACCTTCTCGATTCGTTAGAATCACCTGACATGCTTTCACAAAAACTGTTTTATTTTATTGATACATATACAGTTATCTAACTCTGATTGATTTCGTAAATTAGTTGAACGGTTTCTTCTGACACGAACTTGAACGTATTCGTTTGTTATAGGGTTTCTTTTTCGCTTTAACATTTTCAGAATTATTTTGATGTACTATCACTACAACAGGGCCAGTAAATAAATATGTTCTAAATTTTTCATGTTCAAAAATCTAAAACTGGCATGTTAAAATATCTAATAAATCATTATTTGTATTCGTCGTTCACAGACCTAAAAAAATTCCAGTATTGAATAAGTCTAAACTTAAGTACTCATAAGTATGCAGAGAGGGCCCCTCTGGCTAACAAGTTTACTTAGCTTCTACGAACTTTATAGGCCTGATTTCCATTCGGTCCACATCGCTCCATTGGTAGTAAAAACATCAGCTGTTTATACCGTATTTGTCATGTTGTGCTTGCTGTATGTTAAGTTACTATAGTCTTATGAAGCTAGGCGGTTTGTCTACAATGCTATTGGTTGTTAGCATGGATAAAATGTCTTACAAACAGTCTGTATATAAAGTTCAAGTCCAACCGATATCCTCGGCTTGTCTTAGTAAATGCGGACTTGTGTATTGTTTATTGCTTTACTTCTTTTTTTTTCCGGCGATTAATCTTTGTTTTACAATAGGATAACTTTATGGAGTATTCAAGTTGTGCGTGCTTTGATGAACAATAAGAAACTTTGTTTCTGTACATCGGTTAACTAATCTAGAAACAGTTACAATAAACTATGAAAGTAATAACACTGAGTGTTAGTTAATTAAACTCCTTATTGCTCGGAACGTTGTTTTCCATAGAAGTTTATTTTTTAGCCTCGAAGAGAATAACAGATCGCAGTACTTTCTTTTTGATTTTACAGGATCAACAGACAAAATTGTTCGTATTGGTTATATTTGGGTCAAAATTAACTAATTATCACATAGAAGTAAACTGCGGTTATTTACACTTATGACGGTGTCGCATTGTTGTCTATGGTCTTTTGCTTAAACTTATAGTAATGACACATTGTTGTATACGGTTTGTCACTTAAACTCATTGTAATGGCACATTGTTGTACATGGTCTGTCACTTAAACTTATAGTAGTGACACATTGTTGTATACGGTTTGTCACTTAAACTCATTGTAATGGCACATTGTTGTACATGGTCTGTCACTTAAAGTTATAGTAGTGACACATTGTTCTATACGGTTTGTTTGAATTAACTGACCTGATTTCTTTTCGATATGATGAGGATTCTCAAAACGAAATTCAATCATGTAATTAATAAAGTTTTTATTGTAGATACAATTTGGAGTGAAAATAATGCAGGAATTGGTGTTTATATATATATATATATAATACTTGTTTTCACCTGCAATTTGCAGCTATACAGAAGGAAATTTCGAAACAAATGTTAAGTTCGGATTGAAAATATTTTATTGCAAAAGAAATAATTTGTTTCTAATATTTCCTATACTTTTCAACATGTATTTTACTTGTGTTGTGTGGTGGGCATTTAAAATGAGGCATTTGACAGTTACTTATATTTACTCTGCGGACTTACAACGCTAGAAACCGGGTTTCGACACCCGTGGTGGGCAGAGCACAGATAGCCCATTGTGTAGCTTTGTGCTTAATTACAAACAAACAATACTTATATTTACACTACGTTTAAATGTAACATGTAACTGCAAATTCATTTCATTGTAAAGTAATAACTTTTGTACATCTATACAAATTATTACGTAATATATATATATATATATATAACTATTTGTGTAATAATAATTTTACTGTCAATAACAAGAGAACACAGTGTTTAACAACTATTCATGATTCGAATAAAAACTAAATTATTGATGATAATTGTGTCGCGAAAGTAAAAAAAAATAAAGAAGCAGAATCTTAATAGAGGCACACAAAATATTTTTATGACAGGCAATATTACGATTTATGATGAACAATGAAGGTTTTACATGTGAAGCATTCCGTAACGAGAACGTGTCTAGACGTGTTAAGAATTGTTGGTGTGTCACAGAGCCTCAAGGTGCTGAAGATCTTTGTTTTAATAGAAAATTCGTCCTAGGTTTTGATTTGGATGATCTACTACTGTGGATTGTTTGTATCCGAATTTCAGTTTTTTGAAAACGTGCTATTTGAAATGTATATATTACCTGTAGTTTGCATAGCTGGTGGTCACTGGCAATGTTTAAAGACAATTATCTGTCCTGTCACAACCGGAATGTGGTTGTTTCTAATTTATAGGCAGATAATTAGATGTTTTCATTGAAGGTTGGAATGGAAACGTACAAGAAAATTGATTGGCTATCTCGATGCTAAAAGGAGAGTGTTTTCCCATTTAACTTTATTTATTCACGAAAAACGAAATTAAATATATGTTCTCCGAATAGTTCCGAGTGTTGACTAAACAAATTGTTGTATCTATTTATATATATATATATTGCTTTAGTAACATCCGCTGTAGATTATTTTTAAACAAATTATCCTAAAATTTTCGAGTGCCTTAGCTTAGGCTATATTTTCAGTTCATTTTGAGGTTTTTGCTATTGAACGTATTTTGTTAAACACTACACTTTCCAGTTGTTTAAAGTATTAGTAATCTTAAGTGGATTAGTAACTGTAGCGTAAGTTCGTTAATGAGTATATATATTTCAAAGACATACGTGTAACGCCAGTTTAAAAAGGATAAGCAAACGCCTCTTGTGATTAAACTGAGGACTTAAGTTTTCATTTTTGAAACTAAATTTATAACCATTGTAGTGGATTAAGTTGTCTTAAGATTTCACTTGCCACCAATAATAGAAGAGCGTGATCTAAAACGTAGATGACTATGATTAGAGCGATTTAACACTTTGCTTGTAAAGAAAGGCGAGTTCGTATTATACATAAATTTTGTAATTGAGAGTAAAGAATAATAATCACTTCTCATAGAATTATGTTCTTTAAAAAAAGAGATAAATAAATACTTTAAAATCGCTATAATAATATAGTCTTGCTGCACGGGTTAACTTAATGGATTAACCGTACAGATTTAACGCTACAAAGATAATGTAAAAAGCCTTGCTCCCTGAGCTAAGCCTAATAAATTAACATTGCATATCTAACGCTACAGAGAAATAATAAAATAAGCCTTACTACATGAATTAATCCTGATAAATCAAACGTATACATTTAATGATACAAAGACAATAATGTTGAAAACCTTGTTCCACATGTTAATCCTAATAAATTAATCCCACATACCTAACATTACAGAGATAATAATATCAAAATCCTTATTGCATGGATTAATTCTAAAGCTTCGAATACATTCACCCAGATCTAACACGTGAGGAAAAATAATAAATACAGATGCACTACAAAATAATAAGAGGATAAACACAGAAACACCACAAGATGTTAACGGGATAGAATCAAAATATAGATTTAGTACAAAATAATAATAGGTGAGATAATAGCGAAATAAATGTGCACTATAAAATAATAACAGGTAAAATAATAGCTAAATACAGATTCTTTACAAAATAATAACAGTCTGTATGTAGAAGAGGTGAGATAATAGTAAATAAAGTGCACTACAAAATATAAACAGGAAATACAATAGTAAATAAAGTGCACTACAAAATATAAACAGGAAATATAATAGTCAATAAAGTGCACTACAAAATATAAACAGGAAATATAATAGTAAATAAAGTGCACTACAAAATAAAATAGGAGAGAAAAATAGTAAATAATGTGCACTACAAAATAGAACAGGAAATATAATAGTAAATAAAGTGCACTACAAAATAAAACAGGAAAGATATTAGTCTTTGGGTAAAGGCGCTATAAAAGAACTACTTTATTAGTAGGAAGACATTATAGTACGCAATGTTTATTAAATATTCGATTTCAAAACGCAAGCATGTTTATTAAGTGTGTAAAAATAAATCTTAAGTTCTCTATCGTGTTCTTCTTGTTTCTTCCATTATTAAACACCTCGTACTCTAGATAACAAACACAAAATCACACCTGTAAGAATGCCTTAACATCAATGATGGGTGTGACCTAATGATTAGTGTGGCAGACTATAGGTCGAAAGGTCCAAGATTCGAGTCCGCAAAATGCTGCTGAACACTTTCAGCTATGAGCGTTATTTAACTGATTATGTTCGTGTTAGAGGCTGTTGACTGGTTACACTATTTGATTAATTATGTTCGTGTTAAAGGCTGTTGACTGGTTACGCTATTTGATCAATTATGTTCGTGTTAGAGGCTGTTGACTGGTTACCTTTCGTATTTACAGCATTTGTAAATCGTTCGCAATCTGCAGGTTGCGGGTTCCAATCCCATTACCGAGTATATCTGCTCTTTCAGACGTGGTGGTGTTTTAGTATGACGGTAAGTCTCACTATTCGATTGGTCTATCACGTGTATATTAGAAACAGCTAAAGCAGATAGCCCTGGAGCAGCTTTGCGCGAAATTCAACAAAAGAACAAAGAGATTTAACCTTGGGGTCACTGATCTGGCCTTTTAGCCCATGTGTCACACGAAGTACGAAATACCTTAAATTAAACGCATGTCACAAAAATCTGCATTATTTCACTTCAAATAATCTCGAAAGATAATCATTTCCAGAGAACCTAACCTGTAATTTCAAACATTGTAAATACGCACTAAAGACGAGATTTGGCATTTAACTATTTGAAATGATGCTGTGTTGCATTAAAGATTACAAACAGGCAAAATGGTTCACTGTATCGCATTAAGTATCATAAACAGACTCATAATAAACAAAACTTACGGTGAATTGAAAGATAAAAAAAAACAATTATGAATATAAATTAACAAAGAAGATAAAAAACAACAACTAATATTGTAATGTAAAATGAATCTACTTAATTGTATGATATAACAATACATACTTTCTTTGAATCCATGAATCTACTTAATTGTATGATATAACAATACATACTTTCTTTGAATCCATGAATCTACTTAATTGTATGATATAACAATACATACTTTCTTTGAATCCATGAATCTACTTAATTGTATGATATAACAATACATACTTTCTTTGAATCCATGAATCTACTTAATTGTATGATATAACAATACATACTTTCTTTGAATCCAATTATATCAACACTCTCATCGTTTTTACAAACAGTCCGACTTGAAATTTATTTTCTACAGAGAATGTAATTTCTAAGGGCTGCGGATTGGCCTGTGTAGAGCTCTAGATTTTGAATCTGGCGAGTAGCTATGAATCCATGTGGCACCACAAAATATTCCCCCCACTTTAAGCTGTGAGTGCGGGTGACATGGTGCTGCAGACTGGCTGCCTTCCCCCTGGTTAGTAATCGAAAACAGGGAAGGCGCCAAATAGTCCTAATAGTTTAGCCATAAATACAAATACAATATTTTAAAGGTCTGTCGTGGTAATACTAGTGGTTCAACCCTATAATAGAGCAATTACTTTTGATAGAAGATGTAGATAAATGTAAAAATAAAAAACCAACAACAACAAAGAATGGGTACAATACAGAATAATAAACAATAGCAAAATAACTAAAATATTAATGACTGATGCCCGAGATAACCTAGTGAGTAGTGTATCCAATAGTTTCGGTTCGAAAGGCTGTGTTTCTAAACAAGCTTCTTTCTGCTTTAGGTGCAATATACGAGTTACTGTTAATACCAGTATTCGAATAAAGTTTCGGGTGGTATGCATTTACATCGTGCAGAAGACATGGGCGTCCGCAAAAGTATTTCCAGGGAGGAGCAAAGTTTTCCAAGGGGAGCAAAGTAGTGTGAAACTGCGAACTGAATAAAAAATTCATATACATATGCTGAATGAATAAAGAAAAAATTGTGTTTCTCATTTTCCAAGGGGGAAAAGCCCCCTTTGCGGACGCCCATGGCAGAAGAAGAAGTTATCGTTGAAGTTTTGTGAGGTTTTAGTATTTCAGGACTTCTTTCTTGTAGGAAGAGTAATGTTAGTAACCTTATTAATGGAGTTTTTGATCTTGCGGGAAAATTGGAATTATTATTAATTTGGAGAGGTTTTCAGAAGAAGAGATTTTCTGCGATTTTAAGGATAGGGAGATTTATTATAGTTATATGAGGTTCTGATCTTAAATAAGGATTCTGTCTTTATTCTTAACATAGGAGGCCCTGATTTGGAAGAAGGAGAATGCATTTAATCCTCGTTATAGGAGGTTCTGATCCTATAAGCAGAGACTGCATTTACTTTTAATATAGGAAGGTTTGATCTTGAAGGAGACTGCATTTACTTTTAATATAGGAGGGTTTGATCTTGAAGGAGCCTGCATTTACTTTTAATATAGGAAGGTTTGATCTTGAAGGAGACTGCATTTACTTTTAATATAGGAAGGTTTGAACTTGAAGGAGACTGCATTTACTTTTAATATAGGAGGGTTTGATCTTGAAGGAGACTGCATTTATTTTTAATATAGGAGGGTTTGATCTTGAAGGAGACTGCATTTACTTTTAATATAGGAAGGTTTGAACTTGAAGGAGACTGCATTTACTTTTAATATAGAAGGGTTTGATCTTGAAGGAGACTGCATTTACTTTTAATATAGGAGGGTTTGATCTTGAAGGAGACTGCATTTACTTTTAATATAGGAGGGTTTGATCTTGAAGGAGACTGCATTTATTTTTAATATAGGAGGCTCTGATCTTGGAGAAGAAAACTACATTTATTCTTACTATAGAATATTTTGATTTTGTAGAAGAATGATACTTTCTTTTTTGATGCGTGAAATTTCCATGCTTAAGGAGCTTTGCTACTTCTAGTTGCCCAGGTTCTTTGCTAGTCTTAGTTGTCCAGATTCTTTGTTAGTTCTAGTTGTCCAGGTTCTTTGCTAGTTATAGTTCTCCAGGTTCTTTGCTGGTTCTAGTTGTCCAGGTTCTTTGTTAGTTCTAACTATCCAGGTTCTTTGTTAGTTCTAGTTGTCCATGTTCTTTTTTAGTTCTAACTATCCAGGTTCTTTGTTAGTTCTAGTTGTCCAGGTTATTTGTTAGTTCTAGTTGTCCAGGTTCTTTGTAGTTCTAGTTGTCCAGGTTCTTTGTTAGTTCTAATTGTCCAGGTTCTTTGTTAGTTCTAGTTGTCCAGTTCTTTGCTAGTTTTAGTTGTCGAGGTTCTTTGCTAGTTCTAGTTGTCCAGGTTATTTGTTAGTTCTAGTTGTCCAGGTTCTTTGCTAGTTCTAGTTGTCCAGGTTCTTTGTTAGTTCTAGTTGTCCAGGTTCTTTGTTAATTCTAGTTGTCCAGGTTCTTTGCTAGTTCTAGTTGTCCAAATTATTTGTTAGTTCTAGTTATCCAGGTTCTCTTTTCAAACAGATTTCCCTCTCTTCAGGAAGATGAGTTTTATTATACAAAATTTTCTTCATTTCACTTTGAACAACGAAAAGTCTTGACTAAAATAAACATTCCATTAGATCCAACAAGCAAATCTTACAATATGTATTATCATAAGCATGATAAACAAAACCTATGCTTTTATTCCACTTAAATTTGTTTTCGCCACCAATTGAGCTGCTGGCTTTGAAAAAAAAAAAAGGCTTTAAACGGTGATGGTTGATGTAGGGGTAGTAATCGTTCCATTATCTGAAAGAACAACATCTGTACTTGGGTCCTAGTACAAGCATCACATTAACAAAAGTTGTGAAAAAAAAAAAACCGACTCGCTTACCGACAAACCAGAGTTGCGCAACAAACTAACCTATTCAAATTTTTTCCTAATATGGTGAAGTTAAAGTTGTTTGACATTAAATTATGATATAGTACATAGATGCGGCAGAGGCGGATCTCGGTTTTATTAGAACGAAACCCCCACCCTCCTCCAGGGGGCTAATGGCTTGCGTGATTCATCTACAGAGGGCCGAACACGATGGGCCGTATAAAATCGTATAGCACGGCTTACTGTACTACTGTCCTGAAATTTCAGTCACGTTTCGGTTAAGAAGTGTTTTGTACGAAAGTGAACAGCAGAAATTTTTGTTTGGTAAGTAACAGTCATAGGTTTATGTTTTTGTGTTATTGAGATTTTTAAAGAATCACATATGGTTAGAAAAGTAGGCTAATGTGTATTATTTTTCAGTGAGTCGGCAAGTTCTTCAACCTTATACGGTTTACCAATTAATTCAGATCTTAAAGTACATTTACATAAAATTTGGTTAGTATTCCTTTTCAACGCTTAAGTGCCTAATGAAGAGTTTGAGTTGGTTTGGTTTGTTGCTGTTAAGCGCAAAGCTGCAAAATAGGCTATCTAAGTTCTGCCCACCACGGATATCGAAACTCAAACTTTAGCGTCGTAAGCCTTGAGACTTACCTCTAAGCCACTAGGGGAGGACATTTGATTTGGTTCCTTCAAATAAGGTATAGTTTCAATGGAAGTGAAATGTGTAAACAAATAGGCCTAAACATGACGTCAAACACTCTATGTTGAATCATTGTAGAAATTATGTTTTCACGATGAGTGAAATAAATTTGTGATCAAGACGAATTGATGTTGTAAATTCTAAAGCTAAAGTAGCTCTATCTATATAATTAGGTAATTCAGCAGATTATTTATACGTACATCAATGTGATGTATAGCTCTTGAATAATTGTTAATAAAAATATGAAAAATGTTCTAATGTGTGATGCACATTGCCAAGGTGAAAAACGTATTTGATTATCTTTTCACTTCGCCATGATGTTTGTCTTGGGACCAGGTATGATGTGGTTACAAAAAGATGGACAGCTAACGTTACAGCGAAAACAATGCGATATTTTATCAGGATATGATCGATCTGTAAGTTACATGCTAATGACAGAATGTTAATATTCCAAAATTACGTTGTTAATTTTTTGGGAGTTCGAACCAGTTTTTACGTTCTCCATCTAACCTTTTGCAGTTCTTCAAAGTAATGTCAGAAAAACAAAACACAAGCAGGATATTAAGACGTTGGAGCTTTCAAAGTTGTATAATATATATATATTGTAGATAAGCTGTTTAATAATAGTAATAAAAGAACTGCGTGGGCGAGGAAATTACAAAATTCAAAATAAAAAGTGTAGTAATGGTGACAAACTCGCCAAATTACAATGATTTTATTGGTAAATACCAGAACAACGTTTTGGGCAACAGCCCTTCGTCGGGTTTCCATTGAGAATAAAACGGTTAATAGAAGAGTTTTATTCTCATTAGAAACCCGATGAAGGTATGTTGCCCGAAACCGTTGTTTTTTAAGTACCTTCGTGAAAATACCTCTTGTTGGTAAGTATGATTAGCTTCCTTGGTAGTGTAGCTCAACCTGAACAATATTATCTAACCTATATTAACTGTAGCTTGGTTACTAAGAGATTACCATTCTTCCTAAAATGACGTAACCTGAACAACATTATCTAACCTCTTTTAACTGTAACTTGGTTACTAAGAGATTACCATTCTTCCTAAAATGATGTAACTTGAACAATATTATCTAATCTATATTAACTGTAACTTGGTTACTAAGAGATTACCATTCTTCCTAAAATGACGTAACTTGAACAATATTATCTAACCTCTTTTAACTGTAACTTGGTTACTAAGAGATTACCATTCTTCCTAAAATGATGTAACTTGAACAATATTATCTAATCTATATTAACTGTAACTTGGTTACTAAGAGATTACCATTCTTCCTAAAATGACGTAACTTGAACAATATTATCTAACCTATATTAACTGTAAATTGGTTAGTAAAAGATTCTTTATTTTTTCATAAACACAAAGCTATACAATGGGTTATCTGTACTGTGCCCACCACAGGTATCGAAACCCAATTCTTAGAGTTATTAGTCTTCAGACTTATCGCTGAGCCACTAAGAGCATTATCAAGAGTTTAGTTTTTCCTAATGTGACGTAACCTGAACAATATTATCTAAACTATCTGAACTGTAACTTGGTTATTAATAGATTAGCATTCTTCCTAATGTGACGTAACCTGAACAATATTATCTAAACTATCTGAACTGTTACTTGGTTATTAATAAATTAGCATTCTTCCTAAAGTGACGTAACCTGAACAATATTATCTAAACTATCTGAACTGTAACTTGGTTATTAATAGATTAGCATTCTTCCTAAAGTGACGTAACCTGAACAATATTATCTAAACTATCTGAACTGTAACTTGGTTATTAATAGATTAGCATTCTTCCTAAAGTGACGTAATCTGAACAATATTAGCTAAACTATCTGAACTGTAATTTGTTTAGTAGGATAACATCAATAATTTTTCACATCGTAGCTCCTGGCAAAGCTGTTTCTGTTGATTTTAGAAATTTAAGGCATCTGGTTGGGAAATATATAAACTGTTAACATCTGTAAATAATTGCAATAAAGCATATGATCTTAAGAAGCTAGAGTATCCTTCTATTCTATTTACGTCCAGCCTGACAGAGTATCCTCTACATATGGTGAGTTTTTTAATATTTATTTTTAGATTTGCTACTACGATCACTCAACCCTTAAGCCTTCCTAACGTTACGTTCTTAGATATTCAACGTGTTTAAACCCATGTTTTTTTAGTGTTAACCTAAAAATTAGCTATCTGCTCTCTGTACACTGCGGGGAATCAAATCAAGAATTTTAGTATTGTAAGTTCATAAACTTACCATTGACCCACCGGGGGGGGGGGGGGCTTAACGTATTATAACTTAAACAAAGAAAAATGCTTACGAAACATACGTCACATTTAAGATAAGAGAACGTGGGCGTCATCTCAAAGTCTTGTTTTCTTCCTTCGTCCTGGTTCAATTCTACTGACCTTATGTTTTCTGTTTAGTTTCCGTTCTACAGTATTTCACTCAACTTCGGTGATCAGGTGATTGTTGTTGTTTTTTTCTTAATTCCAAGTCCCGGTATTCCACATTTTTCAAACACACACATACACTAAGAAAGCAGACTTTAACATTTATAATATACGAATACGTATCCCAAGCACTTTTAAAGAGCAGGATAATGGGTAACGACATTTCGGCTTTTTTCTCCATCCTACTCCTCTTGGCGACTATAATATAAAGATATTCGAGACTTCATCACAAACTTAGCAAGTTTCTTGTTGCGTTTCATCTCCGCAATGCTTGCTACTGAAATGTTAGTATCAATAAATGAGATGTTTAAAGTTCATTCATTATATTAAATTCCATTATATTCCATTCATTATATTCCAGCCTTGCTAGTTTTACAAGTGTCATAACAAATCACACAAACAATTGATATTAATTCAAAATACTCCACTCTCAATAATTCGTTAGTAAGAGAAAACAGGGGAGCTTTTCAATTACACTTATTACTTTATAGGCTATTCTTAACGATGAGGCGTTTGCCCTGCGCGAGATGTCATCAAAATGTCCAACTGAGTACACGACGACAGAAAATCTTATTTCCAATGCTACTCATATCAGTATTTTGAGAGACAATAAATGCAAAACTAGTAACCACAATCCACTATTTAGCATTCTAACCAGTCTAAATAAGCTTTGGCATCATAAGGCTTCGACGACAGTGGCCTACTATAGACAATCTGTCGTCGAAATACTGGTATACATTTTTCTTAATGGAAACCCGGAATAGGGCAGTAAAGAACCCGGAATGGGGCAGTAAAGAACGTTGTCATTCAAATTATTATTAGTTTTGAATCATTTGTAGGAAGAATTTGTCAAACAAAATAACAACATAATGTTGACGTTTTTTTGTATATAGAAGATAATATGTTTTTAAAAACATTATGTTTTGCTAGGCTTGCCTAGTATCAGTTGCCACGTGTTACAATATCAGTAATGATAGTACATCGTTAACGGTAATGCAATATATATCAACAATAGTGAAGTAAGGAAAAAATTGAATAAATATAAATATATACTAAGTCGTCAAGACATTAATGTCGCTTTTTTAGATGAAAAATCCTGAATAACATATATATATTAAAAAAACATTTATTAAATGAAATAGTCTCCATTCTTATCGATGATGCTTTTCCATTTTACAATCAGGTTGTTAATGCCATGACTCAAGAAATCGCTTGGCTTTAAAGCAAAAAAACATGTCGATGTTCTCTTTAACACCTTCCACATTTGCATACGTTTTCCCATTAAGATTGTGTTACAGCGAACGAAAAAGAAGGTAATCTGATGGTGCCCTATCTGGATAATATGGTGGGTGGGGGAGAACTTCCCAACTCAACTCCATAATCTTGTGTTTCGTCAAACGTGCCACATGTGGACGTACATTGTCGTGGAGAAGAAGAACGCCTTTCCGATTGACGAGGGAAGGGCGTTTTTGATGAAGGGCTTAATTTAAACCTTCCAGTTACTGACTGTAAATCTATGCACTGACAGTTCGCTGTGGATTGAGAAATGAATTACTCCTTTGATGTCCAACCAAATGCAAAGCATCACTTTCTGCGGATGAAGTTCAGGTTTTGGAGTAGGAAGTGGTTTTTGTCTACGACTGAGCCATTGTTTTTGGCGTTTAATAGTCGCATATAGAATCCATTTTCCAAAAATTGTTCACGCGCATTACGCGCCAGAAGAGACGAAGCAACGTTCACACGTTATCATCGGAGACTTCATGAGGCACCCAAACACCTTCTTTATGGAGATTTCCCATATTCCTTAGATGTTTACGTATTGTTTCATGAGAGTTATGCAATTTCAGGGCCATTCCACTGGTGTCGTGCCTTGGGATAGACTCAACAAGCATCTTCAGAGCATCAATATTAATTCCAACATGTCGGCCCCTACTATCACAGCTTTTAAGGCTAAAGTCACCTGAATGAAATTTGCTAAATCATCATTGACACTTACGAATATTCAAAACATTTCCATAAACTTCTTTGATATTCTTTGTGGCTACAGAAGCGTATCTCGTCGTATGTCATCACTATAAGGGATTGGAGTATACTGAACTTTACACATTATATAGGCTACACTAACGCGACGTTTAGGCGGTTCGATTAACTATTGTATATGATG